CCATTTGCTCATTATTTACAGTATAAAGACAATCGTCCATATAATGATTATTGAGAATATTTTTTACAGCGTCGGGAAACGAATCTTCGTATTTTAATGCATTCGTGTTCTTTATAAATTGAGCAATGAAAGGTGAACAAGTTGCACCAAAAATTAAACTTTGCATTACGCAATGTTTAATAGGTGAATCACTTGATTCTTGCCATAAAAAGCGACATACATTCTGGTCCTCTTTTCTAACTTTAATACGTAAAAACATATCTTTAATATCTGCAATAATTGCTATTTTATTCTCTCTAAATCTTAACATAATACCAAATAATGAATTGTATAAATCGGGAACAGTAATCAAATAATCATTTAAACAAATATTATCCACCCGACCGGCTGCATCAAAAACTAACCTTAACTTTCCTGGTTTATTTGGATTCTGAACACCAAAATGAGCCAGGTACCATACATGAGAAAAATCATCTTTTAGCTCTTTATCGCTAAGTTCTCGTGCGTAATTATTTTCAAGTAATCTAGCCATTTCTATTTTATATCTAGCGGCGTAATCGCTATCAGTGCTAAATTTTCGTAACAACAACTTATTTCGTGAAAATGCGTAATTATAAGAATTAGGCATAGTAAACTCATCCTTTTTGAACGGTAAGCCTACTTCCCAATGGTTACCTATTTTCCGAGACGTATTCTCTAATATCTCCAATGCTCTAACATCAGCCTTATTTTCACGACATACGGTTGAAATTCCTACAGAATCAATATCGAACGAATTTTTTATCAACTCATTTAATTCAATAATATGAGATTTGTTTTCTTCGGAGTGAGCGAGATGAAAAATAGGTTCACTTACCTGAGTGAGCGAGTGAGTGCGACCACAGTAGCCATGAATGGACCATCCCAATCGACATTTAGTTGCATACGGCGCATTTCTGTTTCCGTGCCTTATTTCGACTGGAGCGATAAGAAAGTAATTATCTTCACCTATGAGCAAACGCGGTACAACACATTGTTTACAAACAAATTCTTTTATGGGTAATAAATGTTTACATGTTAATTTATTGATAATAGACAAATTTTGCATAGGTAAATTAAGTTTTGATACCTTTCGTAACGTAATATTATACTTAACGCTGTCCATACAGTTATTACCGATCTGCACATGCACTTTCGGGGCGTCCGATTGATACACCTCGATTCCAAACGCATCAATGAACTTTATAGACGAGCCCTGCTCACTTGTCAGTCCTAAGGTGTTAGCTAACTCAGAATCGATCATTGACACTGATGCGGCGTCATCTAATAAAGCATACGTGTTATATATACCGTTAGGTCCATACAGTTGCACTGGTACTATTTTCAATAACACCTCACTAGCGGATTGCGCGACGTCACTGGATGCAATGTGAGCCACCGTTGCGTCATCGCAAGCGGTCAGCGACTGCGGTGGTGGCGGCGGGATACCCTGGCGCTGCCTGCTGCTCAGCTGTTGACGCGTTCGGCTTCGTCCAATGAAGTAATCGGTGGTGTGATAAGCCGCAGTTGTTTACATCGCACACAGGCGCAGGACAAACGTTTCTATTATGACGAGCCAGTAAACAACAATAGCATAAGCCGTGGTTTTTGATAAATTTCCATCTGTCTCTTCGCATAGCTCGACGAAAATTACGACAATCGGGCAGCTTATGATTTGTTTTGTTGCAAAAAATACATAGGTTCTTATTATCTTCTTCACTGACTGTGTTTACGGCTAATATAGGTCGGTTGCGAAACTTTGAGCTGTCTGTGCGTTTAAAAGTGCTTTCCGAAATTTTATTTATTTCTCGTGGTTGTGATAAGCCCACTAGTGCTGTCAACTCAGCTTCACGCTTAAGAAATGATGCCAGCACTTCAAGCTTCGGTCGACTTTCTGATAGCTTATCAAACGCATACTCAGTCCATTTACCAATTAAAGTACTTGGTAATTTTGATATTAATGCGGCGACCAGTTCTGGACTATGAAGATAGCTTTCTTGTTTGAGTGCCCTTATAGTTGCGTGTCGCAACTATAAGGGCACTCAAACAAGAAAGCAAATTATACACCTTCATCGAAAAATTTATTATTTCGCTTTGATACCAGCTTGACAAAGGTACTAACTTCTTTAATTGAGCTGTTATATTAAAAATAATAATGTCAGAGCGACCAAACCTTAATTCCAGTGCCTCCATTATAGTTTGAGGTGGTGTATTTCCGATTAACAAGTCAGTCACAGCTTCTAAAGCATTACCTCTCAGTGCCCTGCGTAGCCTCCACAGGTTTTCTGAATCACTAAAATTGCACACTCGTGTGGACTCTTCATAAGCATTTTTGAAGTGTAACCACTCCACACAATCACCACCAAAAGAAGGCAAATCTCGCGGTGTCGCAAGTCTACTGAGCAGTCGTTCATCATGAGACGGCTTTTGGACTACTACTCAATCCTTTAGTGCTTGTGTTAACTCTTGGAAACTGGAACTTGGTTGCTCAACGCATGGATCAACGGGGGCTTCGCACTTGCTATCCAACCAGTTTTCCACCTGTCCCTGTTTCTCTTCACCCATCAGGTCCTGACTACACCTGCTACTACTGTCTCTTTGTTGATGCTGCTCTTCTTCTTCAGCCTCCATTGCAGCTAACTTTGCCTCTAATTGTTTGTCGATCAACTCCATTCTAATCTTCGCCTTAGCTTCTGCTGCTTCAAGCTCCAGCTGTTTGCGTCGTGCTGCTGTTGACGATGACGTTGACCTATTTGTCTTAACGGAACTCTTCACCGATGGGGTCGTCTTTTTAACGGATCCACAAAGTGACGACTGTTTTGAAGGTTCACAAATCGCATCTCGATTGTGCAGCAAATTACCACAGCTTAGGCTAGACTTTAGCTTGTCTTCAGCAAAGGTTGTTCGCCTGTTTCCACGGTCAGATGCAAATTCCATTTTTGCGTCGGCGTCTGCTTCTTCCTGTCGCTGGCGGCGGGTTATTCTCCTCGACGTTGGAGTTCTAAACATTATTGTCACTAGTTTACGTAGATTTGGCTCGAAGACCAACTTTTATAAAGGATAGAAATAAAACCACAGCGTTCACCTTAAGTAACGACAGAAAAAAGCGTTGTATTTTATTACCACCAAATAAATTTACAAAATTATTCAAAAACACCTTCATTAAGATAATTATTTATATTTTCTTTTCATAACTATTATAACTTATTTAAATTAAAGCACAGGCTCAGAAATGCGTCGCCTACAGATGGTCCTGAGCTAACTGACGCTTTGCAACCCCTTAGCATGCGCAGACGGTATAACACGCACAAGAACGCAATTCCTTATACGTGTTGTACCGTCTATACAATGGAGAGTGTTCCCAGGAATTATTCAACCGGATGCCAGTGGCCAAGTTTCTCCACAGCACCACACACCGCAGAGAAGTTCAACGCCCACCATCTGGACGCCTGGCTTTCGAGCACCATGTGTTCCTTTCTTTTGCGTACCAGCAAGATCTGGAACGAACTTTCCTCAGTATTTTTTTCTTATAGCTATGATATGGTAATCTTAAAAAAGCGGATGAACCTTTTCGTTCAGAGCCGACAACGTATGAGTGGCCCTTGGTGCTGCAAGTGTCCATGGACAGCAGTGACCACTTATTATGAGGTGGACTGCTAGCTCTTTCGCCTACATCAACATAAAAAAAGTTGATTTGTGACATTTTTAACTGTTTTTTTATTGGTCTGTCCGGGTTCTGGGCTCCAAAATCCGGGGTTATCACGCGTCTTGTCCTGGTTGCCATATTTTAGAGATGGCAGCCCTAGGTGAAGTGAAGTGGTTACTGATTTCGTGAGCAAGTTTGTTCACATTTTTTAAGGAAAGCTTGAGATTTTAACTGCGCTTGATTCTTGAAAACGCGGGAGATCTTACAGTGCTTATTTTGATAGAAAATATATGTAAATTATGAGGTAACGCTTGTTTACTTTTGCGTCACTATTGCGAGACCAATTGCGAAATTATTGCATCACTACTACTGCGCTCGCAAAACAAGATCGTGGTACACTAGTTTTAGTAGCATTGTAGTTTTTTATGCGTTTTGTTTTTTTTATTTTTTTTGGAGGACACTCGTGTAATTGTAAATACTTTCATAAATCATTAATATTTCGTTAAGTTCATTTGCCAATATTTTAATTTTAATAGTTACTTTATGTTTATATGATTTTATTAAATACTTAAAATTTTAATTTTGTTATATTTTTCACCTTATACAGTTATACACACAACCTATACATAGCTTTAAGTACCTACTTAAAAAAAATCTTTTGTTAAGAATGTTATTTTTATCAGGCTGGGTATACTCCACCATTATAATTTTGCACGCTATGACCGTAGCGTAAATTATTGCGCTGCTTTTACGTCACCGTCGTGCAATCTTTTGCGTCACTACTGCATCATTAGTGCCAAAATCCGCGGCCTCATCCATATCATCACATCGTATCATGTATAGAGACTGCTAAATCTCTATAATACGTTTGGCAACCTTGTGCGGCGCGACCTCGTCCGCGATAACATACATCGTGGGATAGCACCTTAAGAGATACTAGAGGATATAATTTATTTGTTTAAAACTTATTTTCAAATTTTAAAGGTAGCATTATCATCAAAGCTTAGGATAAATTTAAGATTAAGATTTGACTTCACTAGTTATATGTAAAAACATATTTTTTTAAGAGTAAGGTATCTTATGTGCAATATAAGTATTTTATGCATTATTCAGATAATAAATTATTTAGTTAAATATAAAATTACTTGAATGTGAAAATTAATCTAGTCGAATCCTGAACTTCAATTTATCCCCAAACTGAGCCAAATCTTGATAATTATTTGATCTATATAATGGTATTTACCTACCTATAATGTAATTGCTCGATATTTAAATGTAACTAGAAAAAATAAAATTTCTTTAGATTTAAATTGTAATACCTAATAATGTCTTTCAGCCTGTAAGGATAAAACTCAAAAGGTGTTGGATGCGGACGCCCATTCTCTGAGTCTCATTGAAGAATCTGCATCCAGCGAAAACACAAAAAGACTCGATGTGTTCAAAGATAAAATGTCAACATTCCTAAACGCAGCTGAAGAAAAACTTAAGACTGAAAATGAAAACTTAGAAGATTGTCGCAATAAGTTTATAGCGACAATTAAGTTTTATCAATATACTCCGAAATGTGGCAAAATGGAAGACTGCGAGCCTAAAGAATTTTTTTCCTTATGGACAACGTTTTGTAGCGATTTCAAAGATATATATAAAAAAGAGGAACAAACAGCAATCAAAGATAAGTAAGTGTAAATATGTATATGTAAATATGTATGTATGTACTTATATTAGACTAAAGAAACATTACCTATCACTATGTCCATGACCTGATTAATGTATGTCAAATGTTTAATTTATAGATTATATTAATTGTTACTCATTCGCGCAAAAGCTACTGAATGGATTTTAATTAGATTTAGGAAGCATATAAGTTTGGTACTGATAGAAAAGAATAAATTGTAAATAGGGAAAACAATAAATATAAGTGTCACGGGAACTGCTGCCGACAAACTGCATTGTAGTTTGGCAGAATTATAGATATTAAGTGTTTATCTTTGTGGAAAAAAAAATAAAAAAATATATATATATTTGAAATGAATGAATGAATTGTGAGGCACGAAAGCTAATAGCAACATGTAATTACCGGTTTTATGAAGCTTAACTTTAGTTTTTTCGTAAGCCTTCAGGAGCCTAATACTTTTCTGGGTTAAAAAGTATCCTATGTCTCTTTCCAGGTTATAAGCTGAATGTGTGTAAAATTTTATCCAAATCTTTTCAGCCGTTTTTGGGTGATTGAGTAACAAACATATAAATTCTGTATCACTTCCCACTGTCCTGGCTATCAGTAATCAAGTCTTGTAATTTAAATTTGCTGAATATGCTCTATCCGGTAATAGGCTATTACTTAATTTTAAAGGAAAGTGGGCAGCTAGTCTACCAATTCAATTACATATTATCTTAAGCTTCCATTCCCAGTAGGGTAAAACATTCAAATAAAAATAAGCACATTCTAATAAATTCTTGACATGAGTATTTAAATATGTCCCAGGAATAAAATGAACAAATTTCTGTAGAAAACAGTTGGACTATTTTTTTTTGCTTTAAATATAACAAGAATACTGACAGCAACAAATTTTCGGCAGGTTAAAAGAAGCTAAGAAAATCCAAGACGAAAGAAAATCCCTCACACAGCCTAAGAAAGAAGGAGGCCTAAAAGCTCGGCTGCAGAAGTTATCGAATTCTAGAAAATAGATAGATGTCCATAATACGTCGCTGTCGTTTTGTATAGCACAACTCGTATACATTTTTGTCAAGTTAATTATTTTGTATAACCTACAACATTATAATGGCGGTCTGAAAAAAATATTCTATGCGAAGGTTGTTCCAGCATCTTTTCGGCAGTTGCAACTGTTCTCTGGATATTGTTAAATATTTCCTTTCGCATTTAGGTATATAAGCATAAGCATTGGGCCCAATTTTATTCCGCACTTGAAATACAGAACGAAACTAGGGTACAATATTACTCGTCTCTTCTCTTGAAATAAAAACACATAATTACGTGTCTATGTTATACTTATATCATGTACTTAAAGAAGCATTGTCTATAAGTACATGATATAAGTATGCAACGATATTAAATTCGCTAGATGCACCACCAGCGTTCAAAATGTGTCCCGAATATGTAGTGCTTAAATATAAACACAGCTTAAGCACTACTTCGTTCAACGTGAACCGTTGAAAAATCAATAACTATGCCAAAGAGCTTTATGCAAAAATGCGTAAACAATGATTTTCCCGACAGTTACCTATGTTTTTTAATTTAACGCATTTGTAGGTTTCATTCTTTAATTTACGTACTATAAAATGCAGGGCCGTTTGCGCAGTCGTGTCTTTCCCTCGCGCTACATGTATGCAATATTACATAACCTTCTGTTATCATTTATCAGTGCATTCAGTTCGAAATAGGATCTACATAGATTGTTAATCTTATCGCCTATCGCTATTAAAATCGCGAAAAATTGTAAAAAAAAAACATTTTTGCATTTCGAAATGTTACAACTTTAAAACGTCCGCGTGCGCGTGATAATAAATACCTTATATGCAATGCACAACGATATTAAATACCCTAGATACACCAACACAAACCAAATCGTGCCCGAAACTTGTCCAAAAGGTACATTGAACGATCCACGGAGCTCCGTAAGATGATCGCGTTGTCAAAAACAATATAAGGCATTATTTAAACATTGAAAGTCACCTTGACGACCTCTGTGGCCGCGTGGTTTGTACGCCGGGTTTCATGGTGTAGCCGACTCGAGAGGTCTCGGGTTCGAATCCCGGTGGGGGCAGAGGGGGCAGCATTTGTACTCCAGTCATGGATCGTTAATAAGTATTTGTAAATAAATATACTTATATACATGTACAGTTATGTATTCTATCCGTTACCCTAGCATCCCATAACACAAGCCTTATAGAGTGCTTACTTTGGGGCTAGACTAATTGGTGTGAGTGTTGAAATATTTATTTATTTATTTACCTTTAATGCATACTGTATAAGGTCTAAATTAAAATGCATGCGTCAAAGAGTTATGACAGTTCTAAATACAAGCTCGCAAAGTTTTTCGACTTATTGCTATATGCGGAAGAATATAGACCTTATTTCTTTGACTCTACGCGCATTTCTGAATGTTCTGTTAGCAATATAGCAGGTACGGACCGCGAGGAAAAGAGACGGCTATATTACCGACCATGCATTTGAATAACACAAACATTTTCTATTAAATCACTATATAGTAAGTATTCGAACCAAATTTGCTTCAAATGCGTTAAAATACAGGCATAAGTAGGTATCATCTAACTTTATTATGGAAAATATAAGACTACAATAATAACGTTAAGAGGTAGATAGAAAATTTGCAGGTTCTTTTTGACTGACATAAATATAATGAAAGAAACCGAAAAGCTTTTTTGTACTAATACATAAACATTATTTAATGTACAGTATCCTTGGACCACGAAAATACACGTGATATATTACTACACCCCCCCCCCCCCCCTCCCCCGTTATGATATTTCGAGATTTTTATGGACCCCTCCCCCCCCCCCTCGAGCCACACGTGATTAATGGACAACCCCCTACCGGTGAACAAATATGTCATAATAATGTCAAAATGCTATGGATAAATTGTAGTTCAAATTTTTGCCACACAGACAGAATATTTTGTGGTAGTGGATTGCGTTCAAAACCTGCGCTCTCAGTGCAATTTTTATGTCATAATTTTGCCAGCATTCAATATTTTCAATTACCATACCGAAAAGTAAATAAATGGTTTCGATTACATTTTCAAGTCATGTCATGTCATTCATGGAATCAAAGAGACACACCCACACGAAACACGCATCTGTCGTAATTGATATCGCATAGTATCCTGTGCTACTACGATACTGACATTCACTTGGCATCGATGCGCGCATCCGATGCGATTTATTTGATACCGATGCGCATCGATTTCACAAATATCTAAAAACGCCCATCTACTGTGAACGAAGAAGTGCTTGAGTGTAGTTCAAGCACTTTTTGAGTGGGACACATTTTAAGCGCACGTGGTGTATCTAGGGTATTTAATATCGTTGGCTATACATTATGGTGACTGATTATTTAAATATTGCCCTATATTGTTTCAGCGTGCTCGTGTAGCCTACACAATCGAAACATTAGATTCAATGTACCTTGAGGTTTAGGCCAGTCGGTCACGATTTTCTTCGTGATGTTGAATTAAGGGGTTTATAATATCTTTGTATATAATATTTTATTTTTAACGAAGAAGTTGTCAGTATGGCAATTTCGGGAATAGTTCTATCTAATTTCATCCTACTGAAGAGACAATAAGTGTGTACTGTTTTTGTTTTGGCTGTTTAAAAAATGGACCCCAATATATGTTAATAATATTGAGTATTTATATGCATATTTTATTAATGTTGCTGTCGTGTTTTTGGCATTCAAAAATAATATACATTATCAAGCGAATATTATTTCAATTAATTAACCGAATGTACTGTTGTACTTTAAGCTATTGTTATTTGTGATGTATCATAATCATGGTGAACTCTAAACTAAACTTTATCAGAAAGGTTTTAAAATAGAAAAAATAAGGGTATATGTCCATATGTTGGGTGTAGGTATAAATACCGTTTGTTTGTTTTGTCTACATAATTTACATCTTATCGTGACGGTGACTATGAAAATAATATTCCCTATTCTCGCAAGTCTGGTCCTTTGAAATGCATTGTTCATTTTAGATACAATTTGTATCCTGTTATGTGCATTTCGATTATCTTCAGAAACATTGTTTCCGAATCTTGGCTATACTCAAGATGTATATTAAATATTTATTTATTCACAGAATGTATATTTTTAATTGTTCAGCTCTCATTTATAAATATAATAATTAATAATTGACAGAAAATCATTCAGCATAGCGTGCGCTGCGTAGCAAAGTATCCGGGACTTTGTGTTTCTATCTAGCTGCGGGCCACTCGAGCTAGACTTAAAATAGTAGTGGTGAAAAGGTTTGTCTGTCCGTTCGATAGTTAGCGTCTTGTGGTAATGCTTTGTTTGTTCAATGTACTTCATGAAATTATTAACAAGGTTCAAAGTACCTCAACCGTTTTGATAGAAATTAAAATATTGAAAAGCTGCGATCTATTTATTCTATATTGTATTATGCCTATCCTACAGTTGCGCGACGAAGACTTGGCTACTTGTTGCGCTAAAAACATTCGAATAGAAAAGCTGCGAAAAAAATGATAATCCATTAATAATTGTTAGGTACATTAGTAATCCATAATAAATAGTGTGCTTTTCTGCTCGTAACATTCAAAATACAAAGGGCCCTGCTGGAAAGACAAAACTTACTTGTTTAATTTCTTCTGTTCTATTAACTATTAAAGATCCGTTCGAGTTAAAACGTGAATCGAGAGATGCATTGGGACGAGCTACGATTAGTGTTATTTTTAAGTACTTCAAGCGTAATACAGCCGAGGTCTCCGCTGTATGGATAAGGCGATTATCGTAATTTTTATCAAAAAGGTTGAGGTACATTGAACAACTAAAGCCTTATCACAACTATTTTAAATCTAGCTCGAGATAGGTTAACTGAGTCCTCGCATGTGGGGTAAAGGGTTTCGGGGTGGACGAGAACGAGGGCCGTGAGAGATGCGGGTGGCGGGCACTTTTAATTTTGACAAGAATGTGCCTGCCGCCCGCACCTCTCGCGGTCCCCGTTCTCGTTATCGTCCTCGCCCATGCCCTTTTACCCCGCAGGCGAGGACTCAGTTAAGCGGTCGATCTATAAAAACATGGATATTTTTGATATGTGTAAGTTTACTTGATCACCTACTATGAAACCAAATGTTATGGTCATATTGAATTACGTTAAGCACCTATAATGTTAGCTCAACACAAATAACACTGGCTTACGTTTTATAAGCTCGATAATAAAACATCTTTAAGATGCCGAATATGATTTTTTATTTCTAATGGTGTGGCACTTCGTGGCTATTCGTGTTTTCCCTTTGATGTTTGACTAAAATTAGCTATTTCTGGTCAGTATAGAAAAGTATCACACCTTTGGCTTTTTCGGTACTAGTCAAATTTTATATTCACAACTTAGATTAAATAAAAAAGGGAAGATACGGTACGCTCATAGACTAGCATCAAAGAAAATATGCTCCCACTCAACTACATAAGCAACTCCCACACTTACATGTCTGTAAATAAACATTCAATCGAGCGAGCGAGACAGAACTGTACCCCTAGCACGAACCAATATCGAATTCCGCAGCTGCAGACTGCAGGCCATACTAGGGGAAGGGGGGGCATGATGGGGTAGCGAGGTAAGATTGGGTACCGCACACATAGAAGAAACTAGACGTCTGTGAATATAAAACAATAAGCCAATAGGAAGCCTCATTCAACCAACGGTTAGTGCGAGAGAAACTGTGAACGGTAATGCACGCGTCTTTTGTTAATAAACGGAAAACTGGTTTAGTGTTTCGTCGATCTAATTTTTTGTAAGTTGAAACATATTTTTTTTAAGGTAATTATGGTCACCCCATTTATGTCTTTTTGATTTTTGGTTACTAGTGTTATGTATTTTGATATGATATGTTGTTTGTAAGAATACGTTAAACATTTTATTTCATATATTTTTTTCTGTTCAGAGAGGCCTTATGAGGCAAGATGGGGTATAGGGTGTGGGGTATGATGGGGCATTGGGGCAAAATGGGGTTGTGGGTTTAGGTTCATTTAAGTTTCTTATTAAATAACATAAATTTATTCTTTTTTAGGTAAAATCATGGTACGTACTTATAAGAAAAAAACTAAAAGAGGAGAGTGGTCGATTGATTCTATGAAAATAGCTGTAGATAAAGTTTTAAGCAAAGAGATGGGATACAAAATGAATGCTTCTGCATACGTAGTACCTCAGACTACTTTAGAGCAATATGTTAAGAAAATGAAGGAAGGGGGTGAAGTTACTGTTGGTTTACCCTTAGGCCCGAAAAAAACTATATTTACATCTAAGGAAGCAGGTGAAATAGAAGCATATCTGAAATATATGGAAGAGCGTCTTTTTGGACTAACAACTACCGAACTGAGACGTCTAGCATATCATATCACAACGCATGTGCTGGCGTGGACGATGAAGATCTGGAGAAGTACACATTTGCTTGTTTTGTGAAAACGAATAGCCTTCCCCATCATACCCCATAGTATGGGGCAAGATGGTTTTTCATAATGTTCCTATCAATTATAAAAATATGTGATACGTTGATTCTCCAAAGACTGTACCAAATCATAGTTAGATTAATGAGAGTAATAAACATAGTGATTGGACTGTAATTTTGTTATTTCCCTTAGCTACCTCATCATGCCCCCCTTCCCCTACTAGTTTCTATGAATCTCTATGAAATTGATTCCGAGCGCAGCGACAGCCCGCGGCTGCACAATGCATATAATGCACGGTAAGCCGCAGTGTCGCCTGGGTCGTCTGCAGCCCATTGCGGGTCCTTTATATAAAAAAAAATATGAATAAATTTGAGACATTTAGACATATTATAATTATCTCAGGGTTTACATGAAGTTTTACTTTGGTTTCATAATTAAAGCCTCGTACTAACATACGAGCAGTAAAATAAAATCGATTTTGTTTATCTATCAATAATGTAATGAAATATTTCATGATGAAATGAACCATTATTGCAGTTATCATAAGAGTAATCTGGCTTCATGGTAAATATATGATGTTAAATATATTAATGTATGTTGGGGTAACAGTGGATGGTTTTTTTGTATTGTTGACAGTCTAAAAATATTTTTTATTTTCATATTTTGATTGGTTATGACTTGTGCTTTCATATTTTAAAATTAACAGCCTCAAAACAATATAACTTTGTTAAAAAATAATGTCCAACTGAGATCATGTTTTTTTTTAGAAAAACCCCTTTTCCCTATCCACTCTTACACTAACAAACCACCTTGATCTGATCTGATGTGTAAAGAACTTATTCTGCATAATTTAATTTAATACAACTATAAGAGCCTGCGCTGCATTAAGCGGGAGCACGGAGCGGGCGCCCGCTCCAACTGTTTGTCTCATGTTATTTCAAAGAGCAGCGCTGCGTGAGGCGGGTCTTCCGCGCCGCTCTAAAGACAAAATTGCATATCCATCGAAGCTTTCCAGAAGAACTATCTTAGTAGCGTTATAATACAGCAGTAGTCAATCACTAAAAAGCTCAGTGATTATCACTTCCTTCTGTCAAAAGCAGTTAGCGAATAGGCCTACAGGTAAACGCTTGGAATATTCACAGAATATTAAGTTGCAATTCAGTTTAAAAAACAAAAGTTAAAAAAAAATAAGCATTTGAGGGGCTCCCGTAAAACAAACGTATTTTTAAAGAAAAGTTTTACTTGAAAAAAATCCACGAGAACCAGGCAGCGGACGGGACTCGAACTCGCACCCTTCGCAATCCGGGCGAATGCTACCACGGCCCTAGATCGAAGATTGAAGCGCCAACAGTTTACTCTCTTGTCCGCTCGGACGCTCGTCCGCCCATCGTCGTACAAACCGCCACTCTGACAAAAAGCCTGCCAAAAGCCGGACAGGCCAAACACGTACATATTTGGCCGGACGCGACCGCAAAAAGCCAAACATGTCCGGCTAAAGCCGGAGACCTGGCAAGCCTACCTACAATGCGAAGAGATGGTGCTGCCTTGCAGCTTAAGGCTAGGAAAATTTCGACGCGGCCATCAGGGCCGTGGTAGCATAATTGGTCAGTGTCGAGACCCGTCCGCGTGGATTTTTCTTTTCTAGTAAAACTTTTCTTTAGATTTAAACATCTAGCAGTTAAAATACTTAAAAAAATAAAATAAAAACAAAACGTATTTTTTCCATTATTTGCTGATTTCAATATAGTGTCTTATGTTGTATAGTTTATTTATAGTACGGAACGAAACAGAGTCCGACTCGCACTTGACCGGTTTTGGGAACGATCGGTAGGCAACTGTAGCGTACGCACTTGATGGCACCATCAATGGGCGTGAAGTCCCTCATTAAGTGAAACCGTCAATCACGTAAAACTTGTCGACTTGATCGTCACCGGGACGCATAAGATCTACCCTGAAATATCAAAAAAAAATATACAGACGAACACAGTACCTCCTTCTTTTTTTAAGTCGGTTAAAAAGAAAGACGCTCACTAAATAACAAGAAAGCGATAAAACTACCTTTGCGCAATCAAACGCCTAACGAACGCTGTGACAATGACATAGCGTAGTAGTCACAAATTCACAATACAATATATTGTGCAAACAATTGCGCTTCTGGTTAATAGGGAAGATGCATATATAATATTTATGAAAATTTTATGATTAAAATGTTAAAAAAATATAAAAGAAATGCCACTGCAACGTTTTTATTTTACATAATGTTGTTTTTTAACAATTATTAGGAATTAAAAATACTTGAAACAGAACGTATTTTAAAACACCAATCAGCGATTAGTGACATCACTCCTGTTATGACAACTTCTTTGAGGTTATGGTTGTTAAAGTAAATATTATTTTATGGGAATATTAATTGCATTTTTTTACATTTAATAAAAATGGAAGTTGCGTTTATCAAAGCAGACTCCAGCAATTTACCAAGAGTTAGTGTTGACATGGTTATAACTTTTTTTGTCCAAAGTGCAGAGTTTTTAAGTGTAGAAATGAAAGGGACTAAATTACTACGGTCGTAGTTGGTAAACTTCGTATTTTATTCAGCGGCTTCTACAAATCTTACGGCGATAATGCAATCGGCTATGTCCAAATTAAAAGAGATGGAGAATTATGTACTGTAAAAGGTCGAGTTCTCCGGAGCATAATTATTAGTTAGTTAGTTAGTTTAGTTATTTTAAATGAAACGCAAAGCTTGGTTCAGTCCTGCCAACGTGAAGATTGTGCCACACATTTTAAAGTTTATCGAATTTTCGACGTCATTCTCCAAGTGTAAAATTAAAAATATGTTATAGACAGGTTTTGTAAGTATTAGGTAGGTTACTAATGCGTTTTTACGTACAAGCAGATTAATTAAGCATATAAAAAGTATATTCGCCGACTTACGTCAAAGTGATCTTCACAGCATCGAATAATGGTCTTTGGAGAATAATTGTCATTTCTCTTCGCAGCTTGAAACCACTTTTTTTTTCAGTTTTGGGTCAGAAGTTCCAGTCAAAAACAATTTATTTGGAAACTTTGTTGAAGTAGATTGGCACAAAACATGAGTCAACACGGCTTTTTTTCGGAATATTAGTGGTATTGTTATGATCACATGATGTTGATGGATAGTCCATTTTAAATTTTTCAAAAAAATATTTCGAAAGTCGAAATAATATGCAAAAGTATGAAAATTTAAAGCCAGCGACGAACAAGTACGGCCAGTGACAGACAGGAGTGACGTCATCGCAACCATAGGTTCGTTTTCGCGCGAAAATTTAAATTGTCAATTTAAAACCGCATTTTTTCCGATAAATCACAATGTTTTAATTTTTTAATATATCTGTGGTTTATTCTACATGGAATTCTTTAAAATGAAAACAAAAATAAAAATATTGCATCTTCCCTATTATTCTATGACGCATAATTGTCGTCCCTGTCGCACTGCAGTTTCAATCATATCCTCTATCCTTTTATAACATTAATGTTAATAGTTCAAGATTTGTATATTATTTTTAATAAATAAGAATTAAAACCATGATAAAATATAAATATGACATTCTTTAATATACTTACGTGTGGTATAAAAAACAGCCATTCCTATTTATCTTTGAAACATAGTTTTTACACTTTCCTAACACATCACTTGGCATTTTAATAATATTACTGACATATCAAGGTCACGTTTTGTTTCGCTCGCTGCTATAAGCAGACTTAATCAAATTAATAATAATAATAAATATATTTCCAACACTCACACCAATGGACAAGAAATCTGCAAAATTTTCCCACTAGGGGCGCTGTAATCGCTTGACCCAAAACTTCTATCAATCAAATACATACCTATTAACTTATATTAATTTTAAAGCTTTTTATTAAACAAATTACAAATGCCGCGTTGTGCAATTCCCGGTTGTTGTGAGAAAACTGCACGCTTCCCGACTAAAATATAATTTTATATGTTGCTTTTAAAGGGAAGGGAGGGGGTAAAACTGAGCTGCTGTTTACACCATGGTATGTATCTGGGACAGGTAATTGCATCTTGATTGATTTTATTATTTTTTTATTTTGATCAGAAAAATCTGCACCAAAATTAAAATTGCGATCATATGCCTCAAGTCTGTAAAACAACCCAATGTTATACTTCCCATTTTAGCCAGAGGTAACCTAACTCTATGTGATGTCTGACTGATGCAAATATAAGATAGATTTGACTAATGAGCTCGCTAAAAGTTACTCAGATCCATGAACTATTATAATAATCATGAAAAATGCATCTATGTACCGAGAATGAGTATTCTAGCATAATAATAGGAGTGCCTTATAGTACGTTCTACTAGATCAGCTTTTCTGTCTTGCACAGATGCTCCTTTTCATCTCAGTTTTCAGTTGTATTACAGACCATGTTGAATACACTTTTACCACTTATTTAATATTTTTAACAACAAAAAAACATGCTTATAAACTTGACAGCTGCAATATTCGGCTGTGGTTTGGGTCAAGCGTTTGCAGCGCTATCTATGTCGAACTTTGCGTATACTTCTCCATTAGCCTAGCCTCAAAGTAAGCACTGTAAATATTAAACATCCATGTCTGGAGTACAAATGCTCGTATTCATCACACAAACATCTGCCCCCACCGGGATTCGAACCCGGTACCTCTCCAGTGGGAGACACCATGACTTTTTTTCAGGTCTGTGCATATATGTTAAATTTCAAGTCTCTTACTTCAAAAACATAGGACTTTCATACAAACTTCCAACCCCAGTATTACCCCCTTAGGGGTGGAGTTTCATGATAATATGTAGCCTATTATGTTGACCCGACTTCTTAATAATATTCGTGCCAAATTTTAAGTAAATCCATATAGTACTTTTTGAGTTTATCCCGGGCCTACATACAGATAAAAATTCTAAAAACTATATTTCTGGTTTTGGTATCAATTGTAGATCACACCCTAAATATTGTTTTAAAAAAAATTCAATGAACAGTTTTGACTTTCCTACCATTTTATTATATGTATAGTTTAGACTTCGTATTCCTGAAGCCTTTACTATGACGCAAAATATAATCAAGTGATCAACCTTTCATTTGTGGCATTAAGGTTAATGTTTACATGGAATGCTACCTACATATAAGATTGCTATTATTTACTCTTTGTTTTAGTTGGTCAGTTTGGTAAGTTTTTGTCTTGCGTAAATAAATTTTATTCTAAATATCCACTTCACTTTTTCATTGATTAATTTAAAGCATTATAATTTGCATATTTAAGATATTAAGTAAATGCTTATGCTATGGTGCGTAATTCAGAAACCAAGGTGACACTATAAGAGAAAGACTAGCTATCATATACAGATATTCATTCTCTTGGGGTTTTAAATTAAACAAGTAATTATTATAATAGATTAGGCATATAACTTTCTTAGCTAGCATTTGCATAATTTAACATTGTTAAAATTATCTACTGATTATGGCTATAAAATTTAATTTGTTGTATTGTACCTGAACTACAAGATTTTATATTAGATGTTATTTTGTATCGAAATATGGTGCTCTAACATATACATTGTAAATATTTATATTGAATAAAGGATAAACGCTATCTTGTATTTAGTGTTGCTTAGTAAGCTTTCAGTGTTGTCATAGACAGTCAAGGCATTTTTCTTTCCATATCTTTTTGAATTTCCTTTCAATTTTTCTGTTATAAGATAATGAATCACTTAACTTTAACAAACTACTTTTTAAACTCTGCCATTGCATGAAACTAAGATGCTTGGTCAATGAATTGTCACTATTCTGATTTCTGTACCTCTCTTCATTAGTAATAAATAAATCAAGTGTTGTTTTATTTATCACTTTATCTGCAGAATGTACATTCTCTTTTTCTTTTGATTGGTTAAAAAATGATTGGAAATGTTCTCTTGATATTGTCTGTCCTTCATCAAATGGTTTCACAGTTACATCACATGATAATTTTGTAGGTTCATTTGTTTTGACATTATCCCATGTGTCTTGTGGTTGTTCATTCTTATTTACATCTTTAACATAATTCAAAATACTATCATAGTTCATAATATCATCCTCAGTAAAATCTAAATGAATCTGAACTGATTTTTGGTAAACCCATTGGAAACGTCCAGAATTATCAATATTTTTAATGTCAATCCACTGATCTAAATCCCTTGGCAATATATAACCATCAGGTAGAAACTCTACACCTTTTAATTTCAAATTATCCAAGTACGGATACAAACATGAATACCAAGAACAGCAGTGCTGGAGTAACACTAAACTTAATGACCATATTCTGCTCAAAAGTGCAAATGGCATAAGGGACATCCAGTGACTCTCTCCTCTTTTCACTCTATCCATATAATACACAGCTGTAACTTTAGAACAGGTACAAATTCTTTTCATTATCATTGAAAATGAAACAATTCGTACTAAAACATACTGTAACATTTGCTGGGTTGGTAAGTAGTTATCTTCACAATTAGTAGGCAGTAGTGAATTGAAATTTTCAATGTCTTTCAGTAAATTAAGTGACTTAAACTTGTTGATTGCTGAATTTACTTTCTTCAGATTTCTATATCCAATGTCACTGCGGAATTTTTTATCAAATTTGTAAATAAATCTATTCAATATTGCAGCCTCGTTATGTAGCGACAATTGCTTTGACAAAACTTTTTCTATATTGTTGCACGTGTGCCGGAGGTCTTGAATGTCTGTAAATCAAACAGAAGTTAAATTTATACCTATCCAGTCTTTCAAAAACAATCAGAAATTGCATAAAACGTACTTACCCATGGAATATGAACCAGAGAAAGTGTTATTGGGCGGAGATTCAAGAGCGCGATCATTCCACGGCTCTATCATTTTGTTACCTATCAAAAGATAGTTTATCATCCAGTTTAGATGAAAGCTTTAGACATAACAATTCCTTCCAAAAATATTATTCCGAGCAATGAAATGAAACGAAAAATCAAAAAACAAAACTATTTTTTTTTTAAGATTCTGCCTTTAAAAAGTTAGGTAAGGTGTAAGGTACAGCCTAGTCATTAGATATATATTTTTTTATATTACAATGTCAGTGTGATGCATTCTAAAGTTGACTTTTTCGGTAAGCTTCTGTAGGTAGTCCACTCTTCAATAAAGTTCTCACGTCCACTTGACCGGAATAGCGTATATTTTAAAGCTTCCACTAATTCTTCAGTTGCGCAGACGGTTGTTACACAAAATCACACCAATTTTATTTCAGAGGCGGCTTTACCTATAGTGCAGGGTGTGCGGTGCACACGGGTGCCGGGTCTAAGGGAGCGCCGGCGCCTCGGTCTCTGATACGACACCTCTAAAGATGCGTGCGTCGTCGCTCGCGGAACGCTTTTCGGCCGATGCCGCCGCGCCGGGCGCGCGGTAGCAAAGCAAGCGCGCCACCACAAGTTCCGACTTTACCTACTCTACACAATTACTTTTATTTCAACGTGGAATCAGCCTTATAAAAGATAATAAAATTATTATATTGTAGTACTGCCGCATCACTACCGAAGGCGCGTGCCGGCACCTGTTTTTGACTCGTTTGAAAACACGCCGACCATCATTGCTACCTGGGCTGTATTAGAATGACTAAAAGTTCAAATTCAAAGAGCAGGGGTCGCCGTGGCGGTAATTTTCAAAGGCTTTCTGTACGAGTGCCGCAAATTTTGTTTTACCGTTTACCACTACTCCGTAGTTTTGCAAAATAAGCCTTGATTCAATGAATTAAGTATCATCATCTTTGAGTAAATATGTAAATATGAAGTAAGTCGACTTTTCTTTTGATAAAAAATATATATTCGATATGATTTATTTTTATTACAATTATTGCGACATGCATCGGGATCAGATGTCATCAAAAACAGCTAGCGAAAAAAAAAAACAACGGGTGATAGTGATATCGAAGTAAACATAAGTGGATTCATGCAAGAATAACAAAACTATTGTTGGAATTGAAACAATCCAAATATTTTTCAATTATTTTAGATTGCACTAAAGATGTTGCACACGAAGAACAAATATCAGTTGTCGTACGGTACGTCCTTTTAAATGCAAGCAACAACAAGGCTGAAGTAAAAGAAAAGAAAAGAAAAAGCTTTTTGGGTTTTTTTCTTATTACAGACACTACTGGCCTGGGTCTAACTCAATTTTTGCTAGATTTTTTAATCTCAAACGAAATTGACATACAAGATGTGCATTAAACATTTGAAAGAAGAAATAGCAATTATAGTTATAATTTTTATTATTTTTAAAGCATGTAACTGCTTGATGTTTAAATCTAAAGAAAATATAACTAGAAAAAAGTCCCGTCTGCTGCCTGGTCCGCGTGGAATTTTTTCTAGTTATATTTTCTTTAGATTTAAACATCAAGCAGTTACATGCTTTAAAAATAATAAAAATTATGATTTCAGTATTCCCAAATCTGTCCACAGCACTGAGGATTTACCTGACACTTCCAGTCACGGTAGCACACAGCGAAAGGTCATTTTCTATACTAAAATTAATTTAAAACTATCTAAGATCAACAGCAAAGTAGATTGACAAATTTATCGTTAAACAGTATTGAACATGAACATTAATCAAAATTGAAGTCAGTGACATTGTTAATGATTTCGCTAATGCAAAAGCACGAAAAGTATTGTTTTTGTAAAATCGTACTAGGGGGCGCCAGGGTACTGATGGCACACTGGCACCACAAGGGCTAGAGCCGCCTCTGCCATTAGGAAAGCATATAAGAATAATTAAAATAAGGCGCCAACCGCACTCGACGAAAGCTCGCAAAAAATCCTAGTAATAAACACTTGCCCATGCTCGGTGCATGGGCAAGTAATCTATGTTATGTAAATATATTTTTTGATGTGTAACATCTTTCCTCTTGATTTCCTGCAATTTGTGTACACATTCTAATGTAAAGAAAGTAAGAATAATACAAAAATAAGACGATGGCTGTATGGCTTTGCCTTTGCCTTCCCCAATAGGGAAGAATATAACTAAAAAAAATGGGTGCGTGTACATAAGTAGGCGCGTGAGAAGTTATCCTTCTTTGGCATCGTTTAAAATTAGTTTTTAATTGCATGCAAATAATTAATTACAATAAATTAATAAAAAGTCTGGAAAAGGACACAGTCAATAAAGTTCAGTTTTAATTTGAAAAAATAAATAAATAATCAAAATATTCAATTAAAATCGCTACTGAATATAATTTATTAGAACATATGTGATTTGCACTTGTATGAAACTCAAACACGTATTCCGAATATACAAACTAGAAACATGTGGATAAATATTATAAATATGAATACCTGTAACTGTTACTTTATTACAAAAAATAAAGATGTGGTTTTTGGTTCTACTACACCAATGGTCAAGAGATGGCGCTGTAGTCTCCTAAATCGCGCTTTGGTTCCGTTGTTCCAGATTAATAAATACTTTTGATATTATAAATATGAATACCTATAACTGTTACTTTATTAATACCTGTAACTGTTACTTTATTACAAAAAATAAAGATGTGGTTTTTGGTTCTACTACACCAATGGTCAAGAGATGGCGCTGTAGTCTCCTAAATCGCGCTTTGGTTCCGTTGTTCCAGATTAATAAATACTTTTGATATTATAAATATGAATACCTATAACTGTTACTTTATTACAAAAAATAAAGATGTGGTTTTTGGTTCTACTACACCAATGGTCAAGAGATGGCCCTGTAGTCTCCTGAATCGCGCTTTGGTTCCGTTGTTCCAGATTAATAAATACTTTTGATAGGCCTTCACAATGCAGTCGTTAGCACTCACTAAATAGAGATTCTATTTCTATTTTGTTAGTTGATTTTCTTAATGTCCGGTAAACACAAAAGTAACGCATGAAGTTGGACGCTAAAGCGACCAACTTCATGCTGTTAAAATTTTGTGTTACAGTGATGCGCGCGCATCTTAAAATTTCACTCTCATCATTTTTTCATAACGCGTCTAAAGAAGTATAACTTCATAAAATGCGCGGGGAACCTTCAAATTAGGCTGACGTACTTTTTGGTAAGAATTTTTATTCATTTCTATGAATAGTAATTAGGATCAGGTACGTCCTTAGTTTAGTGTATATTTTAATATTTCTTAGTAGTGTGTAATTATATTTGCTGTATTGGTAAGTTTTTAACATTTCTTACGAATGACTCTTTGGACCCTGGGGGGACAGCCCCCCAGGTGTCGCATATTGTTACAATTCCATTTGACTGTAATGAAAAAAGAAATGGAAACAGAGGCCTCTTTAATCGACACTGATGCTTCTGATAACAACTTTAATAACTACAAACGCAAACGAGTCTCATCCCGAAAAATTTGTAAGCATTGCAAAAAAAAAGAGAAGACATTACAAATCCCCCTCAGTGGCTTTTAATGAAAAAGATTGTACTGACGATGATAGTAATTCTAAAGAAAACCTCCCCACTAAATTTAAATCTCCCAAAAGTCCTACTGCTCCAGTATCAGAAGAAATAATAACTGTAAATAATTCTAATTCCTCTCCTAGCCAAGTAAGTAGAAATCTGTATCAGGTGACAGTTGCCGCCCCGTATATTAACATATATCAATATGACATGAAAAATCGTGGGGCCGTTCATTATTAAATTTTAACTGAATTGTTAAGCTTTATGAATCACTTAATATAAAGTTGATTTGATAAATACTGCAATGAAAAGAGCCCCACGCTTTTTCAGTTATATATGGTCCCAGACGGACCTACCAATGAATGACTAACGTACCTAACTTATGCTATAATCACTAAGTATATTCACGACATTGATGACGATCCAAGATAATATCAAGGTTAATGTCTCTATTCACTTGGCGTCATGCCGACGCTGTATAAAATCTATTTAACAATCATAATTTGTACTTTAAACTAGTTACACTTATCAACATTTTTTGTTCCTGTAGTTCGAGTGAAGACATGTCCTATGTTGTACAAATCGCTCAGGGCTTTCTGAGGGGATCAATTTCAAAATTCGAAGATGAGACATACTGCTCTTTCAAAGGAATTCCCTACGCAAAGCCTCCTATTGGAGATTTAAGATTCAAGGTGAGTGGATATAAAGAAAAATATTGACCGGCTCACCTTAAGCCGTAAATTAAATTTAATGTTCGTCAAATTAATGTTTAGCTGCTACCCCCGTTTTGTCACAGGTCTTTGTTTTCTTTAGTTTAGGTTTTAATGCTCATTATCCTTTTTTACTATCATATGCATTCTTGCGTGTTCTTTTGCATGTTCGTGCTAATTTAATTTAATACAGCTTTTTAGTCTATAACGCGGATCGTTTGTCTGTATTTCATGCCAATACATCGTCAGATTAATAAAACTTCTTATTGTAATATTCATTGAAGTAGGGGAAAACATCTAAAGTGACCGTTTTTAAATATTGTGTTTGATAACACATTTGGGAAAATAACGTGGTTCGTGTCTATCTGCTTGTCTGCACGGATGTGTCCCCACAAAAAAATCTTTTCAAAAAAAGCCTAGAAACTTGGTCATGTAGTCATTTGTGGTCGCTAAACCCAAATCTGGGGTCAGACGGGGGGAGGGACCCGTCAGCGTAGGGAATAAAGAACCGGGATTTTCGGGACTACCTGTTAAACTTTAAAGGAACCGAGACTCCCGAAACTTTAGGGATTTTCGGGACTTTATAAATTCTGGAAATATTTATTTAATGGCGTTTTAGGGAACGCAATTAAACGCTAGATTTTTCTCATGTTACGAGTATTATCATCATTATCATATCAGGTTTCACCAGATTGTCGGTCCATCTGATGGATGCCTACTCTCTGAGTGCTCAAACGTTGTCTGGTGCGCGGTGGCACTCCTTGCTAAGTTTCCATGGCGGTTAATTTAGTACTCCTGCGTTTTCCCTTATTCGAGCGATTCAATGAGAGATCCCGTATACGTAGTGGTCAACATCTTCGAGTGTAGTGTTACCAATTTAAACTGAAATGGGGATCTACTACATATTTTGGTCTTATCCATATTCATATCTCTTTCGAAAGCACTACTAATATCTTAGAACAATGTGTTCAGATCTTCCAAGGTCTCAGTCATAAGAACTACAACATTTTCGAAACGAAGGCTTATAAGTTGATATTTCAGAAACTTGAAAATATCCTAAAACGCAGCAAAGTAAACAGTTTCGGGGATGTTTAATCCCCCTGTTTCAAGCGTCATTGAGTTGGATAGGATTAGAGCTCTGGTTCTCTGGCATAGTGGCGTTTTCGTAAAATACATTAACACCTCGACATGCCTGTAGTCTACCTATCACCTTTGGAGAGACTGTAGTGTCGCCCAGGTTTTAAAAATTAAGGCTTTCCCCACAAGTCCACAAACGCCTGGCCATCGAGCAAATTATAAAAGTACTCTTCAGTTTTTTGTACAGGCTGCCGCTGTGTGTGGTCTATGGTAGGTAATAAACCTTTTTGAAACACGGCTTGTTCAGAGGTTAGAAGTCTTTGAACGTAATATCTCCGCAACAACATAGGTAAACATGGCTCAGAATTGAGATTTAGTCGATAGCTCTTTGAGAGTTTTACCACCCTTTTTTGAAGAAAAGGGTGGTAAAACTCTCAGGACTTATATATTCACTTGTATGTTCCATCCTTTCGGTGTTATACTTTCCAGGATGATGAGAGGCATTTGGAAAACTGAGTATCGAATTACTCTAGCCTTTGGTTTCTACAGATGCTAGCGGAGATAATAATCGCCCATTTGATAGTCTTAACCACCAGGGATCTGGGTTACCAAAAAATTTTTTTTCTAATGTTTTTTTCTGAATCCGAATTTGATATCAAATCCTTTATTTGAAATTGCAGAAGTGCTAGGGGGAGAGTGAGGAGGGGTCAGGGTCACCTACAAATCGAATAAAATATGTCTTTAAAATATTTTTTGTTACATGTTAATACATCAATAGCTATCAAACACCCCGGTTTCGCACGACAGTCGATAATTTATGTTTTTTATTACGTATCAATGAAAACCACGACGATAATTGTAATTGAGGAGCTTAGGAACAAAAACTGTCATTTACGTATTTTGCTCAATTCGGTTTTTTTATTTTAATCGGCTCAAAGTATTAAATTCTATCAGTAACTCCCAAGATTTTGTTGAAAAAGTCAGAAGTTTCATAAAAAAATTTGATGTGAACTGCTGCTTCCGGAACAAAATGTTACATTTTTATTCAATCATAATCATTATTAATACATGAATTCAAAAAGTGACATATTCTTAAGAAATACGTTTGAAAAGTCTTTAGTCGGTTCAATCTAGGAACCAGATTGTGGAGAATAATACAGGGTGTAAAAAACCCTATGACAAAGACTAAAACTACGCATTCTGTACACCCAAACAAGTAATATTACAAAATATTATACGTGGGTATCATTTGTATTTTTAAGTTAAGAAAATTTTTTTTTCCACTACGCAACCGCGCGCTACTGTAGTGCTACGCAAATAATGTGCCTATGTGTATGTGTGTGCGTGTGTAAGTGCGTCGATAAAAAAGTTTTTGAAAATATTAATGTATAAAAACCTGAAAAAAAAAAAAATTTTGACATCATCATCTCCATAACCATAAACCCAGGTATGGTCCAGAAGGAAAAAAATATCGTCATGATGTGGAAAATACGTGACCTTCGACTTCGTTAAAGGTTTTCTTACACCCTGTTTGTATAAGAAATAGCAATGTTTTGTGTGAAACTGTTTTCATAAGGTAACTGAATGTTTTATATGGTAACAATTTTTAGACAGTGAGTTTCAAAAGGTGACATTTTACAAAATCATTGAATCAAATAGGTACATTTACAAGCTATAGGATCAAGGGTGTCATTTGATATGTATTTTTTTTCCAAAATTCAAAACCAGCAAGATAATCTTATAATACATTAAATTTATACAATTATTGGCACATAAATGGTTAATAAAAAATAATAAAAATTGAATAACAACTTGAATATTTACTTTCTCAATTCACTTACTCAAAAAGTTAAAACTGTAAATGACACTTTTTGTTCTTAAGCTCCTCAATAACGTTTTTTTTATTACTCTTCATCCAATCATCGTTATTGTCTTTAATCGCTTGACATGTTCACGGCATACTTTCCACCAATTTTTCAGCATAGCTGTAGTAAATACAACTCTGGCTACGGCCCTGCCTCCACAAGTTACTGCATTTTTGCCCTCAGCTCTAAAATTGCACTTCGACTTAAGGGGTGCTTCATTCGCTAACTGATCTGCTCTCATGTTTTCGAACATCCCGTCGCGGACCCTGGTTCAAAATAGGTACACGGTTTGACCGTTATCCCTAAGTTGGTCCAGGTTGTTTAGCATTGCCTTGTCGCTGAGTAGTCGCTCCTTCCATTGTTTCACTAAGATACAGTCCATGACTTGGAGAATAGCATACAACTCGGCTTGGAAGACAGTACAGTATGACCCCGACAAGAGGACTTCTAGTTCTGCCTGCCCCTTCAAGCAGGGGGTGGTTCCTATCTTTCCCTCAGTTTGCTGCCACCTGTATAAATCTTTCTGCCAGTTTAATGTCCTCCTCCGCATTTTCTAAACACATATTCTATCATATCATACAGCTGCTACCCTATCCTCTACTTTCTTACACTCATAATCGCATGGGGGTTTAATTTTCCCACACTGTGTTTCATAAAGCAGGTATGGTTCTTGGACCCGAATGTCCAGTGGAAGTAGCCCCGATAGTATTCTAATATATAAAACTAGCAAACCAGTGAACCAAATGTTCACCCAAAAAAAAAAATGTATTTAATTAATTGAGAACTTCGGAGATTTTGTGTGGTTTCGTTTGAAATAGAAATCACGTGATTTCTCGAAAACCGGAAGTGCTACGTTACTCACATCCGGTTTGTAGTCTTATCAGACTATTCTTAACTTATAACTTAAACATTCTCTATATCTATCTCTTACGGTTTGGCCGCTGAAACAGCACCACGGACGGACGGACGGACGGACTTGTCTAATAGATAAGAGATTCTCGTGTCGCGGTGTTTGTGGTTAAACTCCTCAGAAACGGCTCGACCGATTTTCGTGAAATTTTATATGCATATTCAGTAGGTCTGAGAATCGGATGTAATCTATTTTTCATCCCCCTAAATGTTAAGGGTAATCCATCCCTAATTTTTTTTTCAATTTTAGATATATTTTTAATTTTTTTATGATACATCATACAAAAATAAATATAACCCAAAATTTTCGCCCTTCTACCACCAACGCTTATTTTTTATAGCGGTACGAAGTTCGCTGGAACAGCTAGTAAATATATATAAAGCGACACCGTTCTATAGTATATTCGATTTTTTGGGAAAAGCTCCACAACAGCAAACTTCGAGATCATTTTCTCCGCTTCTTTATTACAGACACTAGTTGCCTAAAAAATGATCGATTCAATGTTTAAATCGAATGAATTTCAGAATATCACTTTTACTTTGGAATTATAACTTTATCATTGTCAAATCTGGATTTTACCACATTTAAACTGTAGTCCTTTTCCGCATCTTCGTAGCGGCTTGCTCTCTTATCTTGTCGATGTTTAATGAGATTTCAGTTATCATCGAGTTAAAAGATTAAATGATCTAATTAGGTATCTGCGCTTACTTTTACAAGACTCTGTTAGTGATAGTAATAGAAAGATTAATTCAAAGCACGTTAAACGTCTACTACAGAAATGGGTCAAATTGAGCCATGTGAGCCAATACAAAGATGTAGCGTTTTCTTCAAGATTCAAATTCTTACATCTTGTCGATAGTGAAGTCCTTAAATGATAGCAATATGCTGTGAGAGACGCGTCTTCCATCAACTGGCTGTTCACATTTGATAAAGTCTGTTTCACAAGGGTTTCTTATGGTGTGATATTTGCGATAACCACCGTAAAGCGCTGCTAAGTGCTGTTATGGACGATTCACCTTCTAAGCGATGTTCGTTAAGGTTTGAAGCAGATTTAAGTGTAGCACACTAAGAACGTATTTAGATTAAAAATAATATTAATATTTCCAACACTCACACCAGTTAGCCTAGCCCCAAAGTAAGCACTGTAAGTGCTTGTGTTATGGGTTTTTAGGGTAACGGATAGAATACATATACTGTACATATATAAGTATATTTATATAGACATACAAATGCTCGTGTTCATCACACAAACATCTGCCCCCACCGGGATTCGAAACCGGGACCTCTCGAGTCGCGACACCTTGAAACCCGGCGTATAAACCACTCGGCCACAGAGGTCGTCAATATTTCCGAGTCTGACTGCTTTTCTGCTCAAACTTCGACAGAGTAATCCCAGCGGCCAATGTTGGTGTTTAATGGCTTCAATTAATTGCATATTGGAATCATTTTTGACCTACCAGTAGACAGAAATAACTAGTATATTCTCACCAATATTTTACACTTGTAAATTACAGGCTCCTGAACCACCAGAACCATGGGAAGGCGTGCTAGATGCATCGAAACACGGACCCGTCTGTCCGCAATACAACGAGCGCTTGGCTCGCATCGAGGAAGGAAGCGAGGACTGCCTCTACCTTAACGTCTACACCAAACATCTACAGCCCGTTCAACCCCTGCCAGTTATGGTCTGGATCCATGGTGGCTCCTTTTATACTGGCTCGGGTAACTCCGACTTCTATGGTCCTGAATTCTTCATGACCCACGATGTGGTGCTAGTCACATTTAATTACAGACTCGAAGTACTCGGCTTCCTCTGCCTTGATAACGAACAAGTACCAGGCAACGCAGGCCTCAAAGATCAAGTCGCAGCTTTACACTGGATCAATAGAAATATAACAGCATTCGGTGGAGATTGTAATAACATAACTATTTTCGGATGTAGTGCCGGTTCCGCTTGCACCTCTTTCCACCTAATATCAGAAATGAGCGAAGGATTGTTCAACAAAGCAATATGCCAGAGTGGCGTATGTCTAAACGATTGGAGCTATAATTTATACGCTCGACAAAGAGCATTCCAGCTTGGAAACATGCTTGGGAAAAAAACGGTTGATGAAAATGAACTACTGGACTTCTTGAAAGGCGTCCCTGTATCTAATTTAGTCAACATTAAATTACCACCACTGGAAGGCGAGGACATGGATTTGTCCGATGGTTTATTGTTTGGACCTGTGATAGAGAAGGCATATCTTAATGGTAGAAACTTCATAACAGAACGACCTCCGGACTTAATCAGAAAAGGACACATGGCCAAATTGCCACTAATTTTAGGGTTTACGTCAGGTGAAGGTATGGAAATAACAAGAAATCTTGAACATTTAACAAGTTCACTAAACAAAGAAGGATACCTTGTGCCAAGGGAATTGAAATTAGATTTGAGTCCAGAAAAGAAACGTGAAATTGATAAAAAAATACGAATGCACTACTTTCAAGGCAGAACAATAACAACGGAAATGGTAGAAGAAGTGACTAATTACATAACAGATGCCTTTTTTTCCTTTAATATTGTCCGATTAGCACGGTACTGCTCCCAGTATCAAGAGGCGAATCCAATATACTTATACCAATTCGTAGCAGAGTCTGAAAGAAATTACTATAAAAATCTTTATAAACTTAATCATGTGAAAGGAGTGTGTCACGCTGATGAATTGCACTATCTTTTCCACATGACGTGTATTTCCCTGCCTTTGACTGAACAATCTAGAAAGATCATAGACCTATTTGTAAAATTATGGGTTAATTTCGCAAGTACGGGGTAAGTACATAACATACTATAAGTCGCTCACATTTTTAGAATGGATTGAACAAAAAATTTATAATATAGATACTCACTTGTTTTTTTATTGTTTCAGAAATCCTACAGGATCCGATTACACGGAAAATTGGAAACCTTTTTCAGTGAGTGAAAAAAACTGTTTTGTCATTGGCAATGAACTCAAATGTATTGAAATGAAGGACGCGGAAAATATAAAATTCTGGGAAGAAATATATGAAGAAGTAGCAACGAACATTTCACCGTAAATAAAATAAAAGAAGCATAACAAGGGGTTAGGGAAACTTTGCAATAAAATGCAATTATATAAATTAACAAACCAACTTATATCAATTTCAAAATTATTGTCTTCACTTCAATTGTCAAACAGTAACTTAAATACCAAGTAAAATAAGCTAAATAGCTTGTTTGTAGCAATATCATACAATACAAACACATCAATAAATATCCTCTTTACACTATACCTATATCATTATTACCATAAAAAAGGTAAATTTAAAAAATCAAAAAACCCGACTGCTTTATAATTATACTTCAAATAAAAACTGAAAAGAAAAACACAAGTCCATCTATAATTCTTTAATAAGGAACAAAGCTAATTTAACAGTCGGGACCCATTATTGAAAAATATTATGTATTCTTGAATATATATAGTTTTTATTTGAAGTATAATTAAGCAGTCGGGTTTTTTGATTTTTTAAATTTACCTTTTTTATTTCACACTTTTTAGTTAGTTAATATTATAAGACAGTATAACCGTAGTCTTGTTACTTCAGTAAGGGAATTAATATCGCTGGAATTATTAAGTACCTTGTATATGTAATAAATTAAATACCTAACCGTGTAATAAATTAAATAATTATGCAATCACCAAAGCAAAGTTTATAATATTTGATTAAACTAAAGATACATAATAAATTTTTCGTAACGTTAGGTAGAGCACCATAGCAATCTCATTTATTATCAATTTATGGTTCTCTTACTAGTTTTCTTTTAAAGCGTTCACCAACAACAGGTCAAAAACTTTGTAATCGGTGGTGTAAAGCTCGAATGAAGAGTACTTCCACCTATCAAGCGTGCTGCTACCAGCCTAGTAGGTATTGGAAATAGTGCAATCATGGCAATTATTTATTTTGTATAAAAAAATACCGAATAACGTATTACTGTTAAGCACAAATGCTAAGTAACTTCTACAAATATAATCAAATAAACTTATTACTTACTTTATTTTTAAATCTATTTCATCAATTAAATACCATTATCCTAATAATATCTACCTATCTATACTAATATTATAAAGAGGCAAGATTTGTATGTTTGTTACAAATAATCTGTCAAACTACTGAACCGGTTTTAAATATTAATTCATCATAAGGTAGCTACATTATTTATTATTACAATTTTCTTTATTTAAATACATTTTGTCCGAGTGACATAGGCTATATTTTATCCCGATAAAATAAATTTCAAAACCATTATCGCGAGCTGATTAATAAATACAGGGATTCCAATAAGTATGCACCTACTAGCGAAAAATGGGTTATTTGTCATTATATTAAGTAACCCTTTATTTGTAACATTAAGTTATATCGTTAAAAAAACAGTATGAGTTTTTCATTAAAATTCAATAATCATAAATACCTATAATGATTTATTTTTCATCATATAAAAGGAAGGAACTGTATCACAGTTTTATTGTAAGTACTTCGTATAGGATCAGATACTGCGAGTAGCCCATTTTTTCTTTTTCGCCTAGGTTTTATCTACGTTCATAAACGCCTAAATTAAATTTCTTCTCTTGGTATTCCCGCAGTCTACTCCTACATAGTACACCGCGCTATCACTTTGTCATCGTTGTAACTTTTTAAATGTTTGTCGAAATGACATAGTATCAAAGGCAAAGTTTATCGCCTTTAGATATCAAAAGCGATAAAAGTATTTGTTTTGATAAAAAATAATTTGTTAATACAAAACGTGCATTTTGGAAATAGATATCAAATAAATATTTTAGTTTTGATTCACTATTTTAGCGGTAATGGTTTGCACAGTAAAAATTTATATATGGTGCCACGGACTTTTTTGTACAACTATTTAAAAGATACATTTTCACTCTACATTACATTCATGTAACTTTTATTGTTTTTGCAGTGCAGGCCAAAAAGACTCGCAGATGGGAGATTTTTTCCGTCTTATATGACACTTATTGTTATATTTTGGCCAATTCACTCAATAACTACATAAATTATTATATATACACACATCAAAAGTGTCTAGGGATCAACATATATTTTTGCAATAACTTTTCTCCTGATTGATATTAATTAAAATTTTCTTTAAGGATTCATCAAATAAAGTGTTTTCGTTTGTCACAGTAACGATAAACCAAGTCACCTTTGCATTAATGGGTATTTCTCCGATACAGGGTGTTTTTGGCTAATCGGTCTGGCGCGATTTTTTTTTAGGATTTGATTCAAAATAATACATCTAATAGTATTTGATCGTTCGAAACAGGAAAATATGTCGAAGGCCGTTATTTACTTGCAAAGGTTTATGATTTAAAAGATGCTGATGAATTGGTAGGTCAGATGAATTATGATTATGCCAGAATAATGAGATAACGGGAACATATTAATTGCAATCTTGCAGTTAAATGAGGCATTCTTCAATTTTCAATAAATTTACTATAGAATTAAACAGTATTTCTAAAAATAATCATTTATATTGTTTGGTTTTGGGTAATAAGTTGCATTATGAATGATAAAAAAATGTAAAGGAACAACACATTATTAGTCTTTACTACTTCTAGTCTTTTGAGCGTTATTATTATAATGAATAACTCGACATCTTCTTTTATAATTATATTATATAGTTTGCCAGTATATACTTGAAATAAAATATATAAAACAGTAAGAGTCTTAAAATCAAAAGAACCAAAAAATAAATAATAATTAAAATAACAATTAACTTAACGTTTACCATTCATTATCAAAATCTCTCTAGAGCTTTAGATTATAATCGTGAAAAAGCGATTTCACTGAGGGTTCTGATACATTCTTTAAAATCAGTTAAAACAAAAAAAGTCAAATTAATAAATACATCATCATACTTCTAGTTAAATTATCATTATAATCAGTCTAACAGAACATAATTTCTCAATATTTAATTGAATACAAAAAGTCAGGAATTTTGATCATGAGATCTCTTGATAAGAGTAAGTCGAATTTGTACTAAAATATATTAAAATCTACATCGCCATTACTGTCTAGTGACATCTTATGAATCTTTTTATGCAGATTAAGTAGACTATCATTGAAATATCTTTTCTCTTTACGGATCTCTTTCTCACTATAAATTCTTTTCTGCCAGAGCAAAGACGACTATTTTCATCGTCCTCAAACAATAATTCTATTTCAATTTTCAGTGCAAGTGGCATTTTTTTTGAATTATGTATAGGAATGGTTTTGGTACTAATAATATTCTTGTTTGGTTTAGTTAGTGTTAAGGATGAAAGCGTAGAATTTTCCTTTTTAATCCTTTTTAATCTTTCCTATTATTTACGGTAACGTTCATTCTGTCTCTTCATATTAATTATAATTTATTCAAGATTGGATACCTCTATATCTTTTTTGTAGCGTAAAAGCCTTATGGGACATGATACTAGATGGTGACGAGAAGAAGAACTAGTGGTCGGTGTACTTATGTCTGGTTCAGATAGATCATTCCTTTTGTGGGACATATTGCGTAAAACCCTAGACGGTACTGGTATAGGTGAGTGATATCGTGTATCTATTTATGACGGTATTTCTAGTGATGGCGACTCACGTATGCTATCTTCTTGAGCTATCAGTTCATTATTCGATAAAATACTGGGACTTAATGGAGGGATATTCTCTGCAAGCAAAACAGCAGTTCTTTATTTTCTGCTTTTTTAGTTTGTAATATGACTTGATTTTTTTTCTCCATCTTTTTCGTTGTAATTTCTGTTATCTGGGATTCCTTTCACGTATAAAGTTGCTATTTATTTTCTTGTTTGCTACGTATGTAGCTAAGTTTATTATTTTCTTGCTTTAATTTTCCACAATTCTTCGTTATTTATGATTTTTTCGTATCTTTTTTTTTCTGCAAGCCTCTTTCTTCTCAGTCTTTCCTCTCTCGTTTGTTTCTTCGGATTTGTCATTTCACGGATCTAAAAGATAAAAATTATTATTTATTTTTAAAACATACCTAGCTGGGCTGCCACACACCTACCTAGAAATCACGTCTGCAAAAGTTTGAAATAGTATTAAAGCAGCTATTAAAAATATTATGGTTAGCTTCTAGACAGTCATGAGTGATTGTAACAGTCTAAACTGAATAAATAATTTTGATTATGATTATGATCATTTATTTATCATAAACAAGTCAATCGATCAATCAAAATCACTTATTTAGTTTAGGCTGTTACAAGCATTCTTGACTGCCAAGTTATATATTATTATTAATTCTGCTATACATAATCTTAATTTAATAATCGCACATTTTAATACCATTATTGTGACTAGTGAATAAACATCTGGTCTAATACTTTTTGGTCAATTCCTAATTTAATTGGTCTGTTAGAAATTCATCTGGCTTTCTTAGGCCAGATGAATCCAGATGAATGAGGACCAGACAAATGAGGAATTTGTGTTTAATTTATTACTGTACTCTAATTATTTAATATAATAATTCAGAAAATAAAATAATTGCTATAAAACATTCATATAAAAGATTATTGCTTAGTCATAAACTCTAATTAAAAATACAATGCTCACCAATCATGGCAGATTAATTATGCTGCTTACCTTACAATTGCCAGCAGAGTCGGTTTTATCGAAGTTTGTGACAAAAATGTGCGTGGACACGTTCACGACCCGCGGTGGTACGAAGCCGACCGGCGCGAGAAATCACGTCTTGCTTTTTAAATACAGAATATTCGAAAAATCAATGAATATACACAATGAACGTATTGCGCCAGACCAATTATGAATTTAGTAGTGGACAATTTTGAATGGTTTGTAATTTTAAGATTAAGACTTAATTTTTTACTACGTCTATAAAATATTAAAGACAATTTAATCAAAGACCAAAAGAATATATAAAAATCATAATCTGACTGTTCTTAATAATAAAAAATAGCTTTGATTCCGTAAAACTCGGCATTTGGACGCGCCACCCTAATTAGATTTTACTGTTTTCTGCAAACTTTATTCATACTTGTATTAATATTTTTTTGTTTTATATTAAGGCCTCAATGGACATGGCCCTTTTAAATAACACCTAAAATTTACGTTACAAATGAAAGTCATTTTGGTATGTTCTTCAGCGAAAAACATGTCAAAATGGTTTTTCAAAGAAACACCCTAATAAAGAAATTTGCCATTTTCCTAATAAAGGGATTTTTGACATTTGAACCACTAACACAAAAGTTCGAAAAAAAGACTGAAATAACAGTTTTCTCTAAAATTTTATTGGGTAACTTAAACAATTAATAATCCGTTTTTCTACCGCGAACACTAACAACACAAGAACATCGGTTTGGCATACTCAAAATGAGTTCATCCAAATCACGCTGTGGAATGGCCGCCCATGTTCGTTGCAACAACAAAAAAAGGTCTTCTTGCGACTGGATACCCTCCATATTCGGCAGAGCTCTTCTCTGCAGCATATCCCATGCATGCTCAATCGGGTTCAAGTCTGGCGACTGAGCAGGCCAGGGCAGGACATTGATGTTAGCTGCGGCGAGTCTGTCTTACAACTCTTGCGGTGTGCGGTCGTGCATTATCATGCATTAACTGAAATAAGGGACCGATTTGCACTTGTAGAGGAACGATGACGTCTGATACAATCGTCTCAGCATAAATTTGAGCGTTGAGGTTGCCTCTGATCCAAATCAACTCAGTTCTTCCGCCGATCCAAATACCCGCCCATACCATGATGGTTCCACCACTATAAGGATGGACTTCCTGGCAGGATTTTAATCGCTGTTGGCGTCCAGGGGTTCTCCAGTGTCGTATACGTCTTGTATCCGGTCTCATACCAAAACGAGACTCATCAGAAAAGCACACGAAACGCCATTGTTCTTCTGCCCAATTTCTGTGTTCAAGAGCTCATTGATATCGAATCCTACGATTGTGCATTGCTATAGGTGGTACCCGTAGCGGTCTTCGGGAATGAAGGTTCACTTCATGCAAGCGGTTTCTGACTGTTTGGTCGCTAATTAAGTTCCCTGAAGAGTGATGAAGCCTCACGGCTAACATCATGGCGGTTATTGTTGGAGCTCTTCGAGTTAAGATTTGAATGTATCGGTCTTGTCTCCGTGTGGTGCAGCGATACCGTCCTCCATGGCGCTCAGCCACGGTACCAGTGCTTCGGTATCGTGTCCAAAGTCGACTGATAACACTCTGACTTGTATTCAGAGCTAAAGCCACAGTACGTTGCCGGGAACCAGCTTCTATCATTCCCACGGCTCTGAGCATTTCTTCCCTGCTTAAATGACGTCGCCGCTCCATAATAACGTTGGTTTTAATCAGTAGTAGGGAAACAGTAGCACTAATAATGTCTTCAATGCGTTGTATGTTTTTATAGGGAAAATATTGACAGCTGATTTTCATCTTTTACTCGAATTTGATTCACAGTTCCTGATTCAAATTATGAAATGCACCAAAAAGGATCCATATAAATTTATAAAATCATAAATTTATTACAAAGCCACATCTCAATCTCAAGAAATCCGCATAAAAATGCTTGATCCCTAGACACTTTTGATGTGTGTATGTTATCATCATATATGAGCTATATTACTGTTAAGTTTCATTAAAATCCATTCAGTATTTTAAGGTGAAAGAGTAACAAAGATCCAAACAAACGTAAGATTGAAATTAAAAGCGCAAGTGGTTAATATACAACTTTAAAGCGTTGTAGATCCTAAACAATCATATAAAATGAAAAATGGTGTTAGGAACCTAAACATGATTTTCGATTATCTAGATACCCCACTCGACATATTTTGTCAACTTATTTTTTTTAGTTCCTCACAATAAGGCTCATATTGAATTTAGATTACTATCATATCTTTAGTAGCACTCCCATGATTGAGACGAATCGATTGATGTATGAATCATCAAAATCGGTCCATGCGTTTGGTCTCTAGTGTGCCACAAAGGAACAAACATACATATCATCATTATCATTATCAGCCTATTAATGTCCCCACTGCTGGGGCACAGGCCTTCCCTATGGATGGAATAGGGAGATTGGGCCATGACCCACCACGCGGGCCCAGTGCGGATTGGTGGGTGCTAACGACTGTAGATACAGTCGGGACCAACGGCTTAACGTGCCTTCCGAAGCACGGAGGAGCTCGAGATAGTAAATTTTTGGTCACCCATCCAATGACCGACCACTGCGAAAGTAGCTTAATTTCAACGATCGCAGCCGAACGTGCTAACCACTTGCGCCATCGAGCTCTTCAACACACATATATAGACTGTTAAACACTATACCCTGTCTGCGCGTCGCGCTTCGCGCTCTTGCATTGCGCAGTCGGGTAAAAAGAGTCATCTAATAGAATTTAATAAACCTTTGCATCGAATCATTCCAAACTCTTGTAACTCCTTTGGGTTTACTTTAACTTTGGCGTGGTTGATTCCCATTAAAGAAACCGTAAGTATAATTTCATTTCATTTACAGTTATTAAGCTCAAACTTCAATCAGAAAATGTAACAAAAGCCCAAGCACGAATTTTTGACAACTCCGTAATGTACCGCATCGTCAAAGTTTCATAAACCAGAATTTTTGCTTATTTTATGCTTTCATAGAATAATGCTGCTTTCATTTTTTTTTAAATATTCAATTAAATTTTTAATATCAAAATCAGTCGCGCGCAGAGCGGTGTTGTGAGCGCACGCGTGCTACTCTCGTCGGTAGATTTTTCAAAGATACCCGCTTTTCGTAAATGTAAAAATGGATGAAGTTACTATTGACGAAACGGACAATAATTTAACCGCGAGTGATACGGAAGTGATAAGAGGGTGCGAAAAAGAGCTCGGGAGGATGTTAGAATGGGATAATTTAGGTACCGAGTCTTACGACGTAAGCCGCGGTAAGAGAACACGCGAGGATAGCGAAGAGAGTAAAGAAGATGAGTTTACTACAGTCAACAGGCGAAAGTCAAAGCGACTGATCAGAAGTAATTCTACGAACAATCAGAATTTTACCCTAATGGAAATAGAGACAAGAGACAGCGAGGAATATATAGAAGTTGGTGTTATGTCGCTTGAAACAAATGGCACTAGCAAAGCTGTTGAAGTCAGAAAAAAATTGAAAAATATTTTGAATATTAAATATAAAAGTCCATACAAAGTGAATATACGTTTAGAAAACAAAATTGAAGCCGAAAAATTTATTAATTGTTCAAAATTTAAAGAATTAGGTTACAAGTGTCAGTTGACATTAGAGTCTCGTTTATCTTACGAAATTATAAAAGGTATAGATATTGAAATGGATAATAAGGAGATATTGGATAGTTTGCAGTGTACTGAAGAGATTACATCTGTAAACAGATTAAGAGTACGAGGGGAAACAGTACCTTCTAACATTGTATAATATGATTTTTCACTCTAGTTATATACCAGAACAATGGCGGGATATTTCAATTATACCTATACCTAAACTTAATTCTGATAAATTAAGACCTATATCCCTTATTTCTTGCCTTTGTAAAATACTTCATTCCATGATAGCTAAGCGCATCGAATGGTATATTGAGAAACATAAAGTGATATCACCTTATACCACAGGCTTTAGAAGATGTCATTCTACTGTTGATTGTCTTGTACGTTTTGTTACTGAAAGACAACTGGGATATACTAAAAATGTAGGTACATTAGCTTGCTTCCTAGATGTTGAAAATGCGTACAATAATATCTCGATTGATAGTGTTACAGTAGCTTTAGATGAACTGCGAATTGGAAGGTCTATTTATAAATATTTGTGGCTTTATTTAAGTGAAAGACATATTAAGATAAAAACCTTGGTAGACAATAAAATCATAACTAGATGAACGCATAAAGGTTTAGCTCAGGGGGACCCTATATCCCCTCTTCTTTTTAATATAGCTACATACAAAATATGCAATAAAATTACAGAGACTAGTGTATACCAATACGCGGATGACTTTGTAATATTTATAAGCAATAAAAATATTAATACCATGTACTATTAATATGCAAAGAGCAATAAATAACATAACAAACTTATTGAAAGAACTCTGTTTAGATTTGGCGCCTTCCAAGTCAAAGATTTGTTTATTCAGTAGAGGCTTTAAAAGATATAATATTGACCTTACTATAAACAATTATCCAATACCACTGTCAGAGAACGTTCGTTATCTTGGAATGTGGATTGATAGATGCCTCCGTTGGAAAAAGCATGTCAACGAAACAGCAGAGATGTGTCAAAAGTATTTAAATTAGGGTTGCAACGATATATCGGAATATCGATAATATCGAGACCAAAATATCGATATTTATATCGATATTTAAAATTCACTGATATCGATAATATCGATATCGGGAATTCCAAAATATCGATATTTCGTAGACTAAATTTAAACACAATTATATCAATTTATGTACCTGCTATGACTATCTAAATTGAATAATATCGAAATAACTATTGCTTTGAAATCGCAAGAGCTTATAGATATATTAAAAAAATCTTGAACCCCAAGAAATATAACTGGTGTGGATTCTGGCATGATTCTCTAAACCTAAAATTAAATTTGACAATAGTGTATCCTTGTCATTCTTTATACAGAATGAAAAGGAGAGACTGATGTTAAATTTAGTTTTAAGTTTAGATAATCATGCCAAAATCGACACCAACGTATATAGGAATAATCGTATGTTACCTAATGGTAACTCATGCACTTAAATAAAATCCTTGCCTCTCTTTCTAGATAATTGTCAACTACTAATCAATTGAAATTTAATATCATTGTAATATAACATATAACACAAAATAAAATTAAGAATCTTATTCAAATCGTAAATTTTTTGAGCTCGCCAAGTCAAGAAAGTAAGATAGGTATAGTAATTTTGGAAGCTTTGGGCTTACCCTATTCTGAAGCCATGGGCACGCCCCTGATGTGTGGGAGACTAAGCAATTTGCGTATTTGATGTGCGCTAAAAAAACCGACAAAGCACGAATGTAGTGAAAACTTAGCGAAGGCATTCGCAAATGTCGTCCCACATATGCGGGTTGGCGCATTCGTGCTAACGAATGTGGTGATCTGATCACGATAATAATTTTATTTTTTTGGCTTCTTGTCGTGGCTGAAACACAAACTGTGCGAGCCAATAAAAAGAATCCTGCTTGGCGCGATTTCATCAAGCGTGTTTAACGAAAAAGCTGGCTCAATTCATTTTGCGAGAAACTCGCCTACAAACATATGAATGTGTCACAGTCACCCCGTATTCTAATGTCAATAAAAAATAAAAAGAAAAAAATATCGATATATCGATAATATCGAGTTAAAATGGTCGATATATCGGATATCGATATTTTCCTGACTTCGATATAAATATTGATATTTCAAAAGACTTTGCATCCCTAATTTAAATTTGTTAAATGTTTTAGCAGGATCGGCATGGGGAGTTCACCCTAAGCATCTTAGAACCCTATACATATCACTAATTAGAAGTCGATTAGATTACGGTAGTTTTTTGTATCATAATTGTGCCAAAACTACATGATATAAATTAGAAAAAATTCAAAATCAGGCTCTGAGAATTACACTGGTCAACACTGTTTTTGTCACACGAACTTTGTGATGATTTTTATTTATGTTGATGTACCCTCATTCAAAAATAATCATTATTTGGTATCAGTCACATCCAGTTTTTTTGTGACAGCTACATATTAATTTCTGACCTCATTTATGTGTTTTTATTTGAATAACGTTAATTTAGACGACTGTATAACGATTGCATTCAACTAACTTACGTTTGTTACATTGTAAATATGCCGCGAAAGTGTTCTAATAACCCAGACAGTTTTTGTTGTGTGTGGAGAATTAACTTTTACATCTCAGCCACGGACCTGAAAAAAATCTCAGCGTCGGAAATTTACGCCGTTAATTGAAAAGTGCTATTTAGACTATTTCCTGTACGCCACCAAGATAAACCCTGGGTTCCACATATATGTTGTTCAACGTGTGTTAGACTCCTATTAGGTTGGTCTAAACAAGAATCTAGACATTTGGCTTTTGGAAAACCAATGATTTGGACGGAACCAAAGGATCATGTAAGTGATTGTTATTTTTGTTTGATTCAAACAACAGGCATTACAGCTAAGTCTAAACACACTGTGTCCAGTACCCAATCGTGTCATCGGCCACAATCCTACATAGTACCGAACTGCCTGTGCCTAAGCTTCCAAATCAGCTTCCAGCAGAAAGTCTGGATTCTGTTCCTTGTCCGGAATTTGTTCTTAGTCAACAAAGTGGGATATCTCAAGAGAGTGACCCAAGTTATGAGCCGTCAACTTCAAAAGAACCACATTTATTGACACAAAGTGATTTAAACGATTTAGTACGCGATGATCAGGAAAAAGTCGCCTGGAAATGTTTTATGAATGTTGTCCAAAATTTTCTAGGAAACCATAAAGCGGAAAATTACAAAGACTTAATCAGTGAGCTTTTAATTTCATATAAAGCTTTGGGATGCAATATGTCTTTAAAAATGCATATGCTGTACTCTCATCTGGATGTTTTTCCCGAAAATTTGGGTGCTGTGAGCGACGAACAAGGCGAGAGGTTTCATCAGGACATTTCCTTCATAGAAAAGCGCTATCAAGGGAAATGGAGTCCAGGAATGCTAGCAGATTACTGCTGGGGACTTAAAAGGGACCTACCAGAAGCCAAACATTCACGCAAATCATAGATATTTATTTTACATTAAGAAATATTTTTTTATAAGTTACTGATTTTTGTACTTTTCATAAAAATATAAATCTTGATGTCACAAAGAAACCTGGAGTGGCATTCTGTAAAGTCACATTTCACTTTCGAGCGCGGATCCGTTTCGGATTTTATCATTGGCATTCTGTAGTCAAGTGAAAATCAACGCTAGCGCTACTAGGCGAGAGTGGCGGTGAAATGAACTAACGCAGGATATAGCTTGACAATATGCTCAAGGATTTGAAGTTTAATGGCATTCTGTAACGAATTTTATACTCACTTTCGGATCCGCACTCGAATTGTTATGTCAAAGTGACTTAGTGTGTAGCTATGGCAATCAATCATACAAACTTTGCTAATAAATTACGATTTTTGTTTATAGAAGATCTTTTAAAGTAAGTATTTTTAATGTAGGTCTCATTGTTTATTTAATAATTCAAAAACTCATGTCCACCTATTTTTTCAGATCTCACTCTATTGCCTTGTGCTTAATATTAATGTCAAGAAGTATAAATAAAATTGCCTCAATTTTAAGTCATCCAGACATCGTAAAAATATATAACATTTCTGCGAAATGCATCTCAACACCAAGTGTTAAAGGAACAGTAAGTAAACTCTGATTAACTAGAATAACCAATAAGTTAAATATTATATTATAAATCAAGTAGACCAGTGTTTCTTATAACTTTTACAATCCTGGAACAATATCAGAATTCTAAAAAATCTATGAGCCCGTGTCTTAAAGTATTTTAGGTAATGAAATCATAAAAAAATACTTTTATTGGCAGTTTCTTTAGTAAAGCAAATATTAAATGAGCTAT